CAAGTGGCGTATCGCTCACGCTTTCGATAAGCTAAACGCTAACACCATTCCGGCACAGACGCTGGATCCCAGGGAGGATGATCTACAAAACAATATGGTTGGATATACAAAGTACAGCGCGCTCGACTTGGTCGATGGCTATTACCAAATACTCATGAGAGTGAGTATTATTCCGCTGACAGTGAGTACTCCTAGTGGGATGCTATGGGCGTGGCTGGTGATGCCCCAAGGGCTGTCAAATGCACCAGCAACATTAAATCGTCTTGTGACGCAATTGTTCAGGCCTCACCGGGCGTATGCACAGACATACTTTGACGACATCTTCGTCCACAGTCGTGGCGGGTACGGGAGGACAGATGAGGAAAAACACATCGTCCATTTGAAAGCGGTGCTCGAGTGCATGTGCACGAAAAAGCTGTATGCTAATGCCGTTAAGTGCGTTTTTGGGGCGGAAGAAATTCACTCTTTAGGGTGCTCACCAGGAAGCGTGGCCTTCAAGCGGATCCCGCTAAGGTCGAGGCCATTGTGGATTGGTTGTTTCCAAAGGACTAAAGGACTTGCGCAAGTGGCTTGGTCTAGCCAACTACCTGCACAAGTACAGTCCAAATTATGCGAAAATGGCACGGCCATTGTCTTATATCCGTAAGAAGGATAAGGAATGGTGATGGGACTCCGAGCATCGGGAGGCTTTTGACGAGGTAGAAAACAGCCTCCATTATGCACTAATACTAGCGTTGCCAGACCCCAATCGTCCATTCAGCGTCGGTTGTGACGCTTCGGACTTTGCCATCGGCTGTGCACTGCTGCAAGCAGACGCCGAGGGGCGAGATCGAGTGATCGCGTCCAAATATCGCCAGCTGAAGGCTGCAGAAAAAAACTATCGAGTCTAAGTCAAGGAATTACTTATGATGAAGTTTGCACATGTCAAGTTCAGGGTGTGCTCCTGCTCGGCTCGAAGCCGTTTGTGATCTACACAGATCATGCGTCACTACGCACTGAGAGTCAGTCGCCTCACCTCTCGCAGAGGATGACCAGGTGGCTCTCCTACTTCGGCGAATATAACTGCGTGGTGAAGTATAAGCCAGGAAAGCAGAAGGCTTTGGCTGATGCGTTATCACACAGACCAAATGATGAGCAAGCTCATGTCACGACGGTGACGCCATCAGTGACGGATTTGATCCGCGCCGCATACATGGGTGTCAGTATGTATGTAGCGCTGCTTCAAACTCTCGGGAGCAAGGAGTTTGAAGCTCGGACAAGAAATTGTCGGTGCGTTTGCGCGCACGGCTACATCGATATTCGTTAAATAGCGGGTTGCTGTATTATAGCACCGATTCAACGGACACGCCACTAATTGTGGTTCCTCACGATGAGGATTTGAGATACCGTTTTCCCTATGAGGCCCACGACACCCCACTCAATGGTCATCTCGGTCGTGAGAAGATGAATAGCTCGGTGAGTTGCCACTATTGGCGGCGTAAGCTGTACAAGTGAACGAGCACATATGTGCGCACGTATGAGACGTGCCAAAGGGTGAAACCCGCTCCAAATGCGGCGGCGTCACTGGGTTGTTTACTGGTACCCTTCGGGTGTTGGCAGTCCATGAGTATGAACTTTGTATTTGGCCTGCGGAAGGACTCGGCGGGCAACACAGGTGTCGTGGTCTCCGTCGACCGTTTCAGCAAAATGGCTCATGTTGTGGTGTTGCGGCATTACCGAATATCATTGACGGTGTGGGGACAGCAACGCTGTTTGTCGATCGTGTCTTTCGACAGATGACATCCAGGAGCCAATTTTCTCTGATAGGACGCATGCTTCATTGGGAAGTTTGGGCCTACAATCTTCAGGGTGTTGGACATCAGGTTGACTTTGTCAACAGCGGACCATCCGCAGACCGATGGTCAAACTGAGCACGTGAATCGCGTCGTTGAAGACGACCTTCGCAACGTCTACGCTGACACGCCGAAGCGCTGGAGCACTATGTTGCCATTCGTAGACTTTGCTCTGAGCAATGCAGCGCATTCATCTACCAGCTACACGCCGTTCTACGTGAACGTGCCCGTTCGTCCTCGCGTCCCGCTGACGCCGCCATCTCATGGCTCAGGGCTTGGTAAGGGGGATAGTCGAGTGGCTAGCTAATGTCAGCCCTCCTCACCGTGCGTAAGGAAATCGGAGACTTCCTGTCTATCAGACTGAGTGTTTTACGACAAGCTCGAGATGCGATGGCTGAAAGCCAAGACATGCACAAAGAATATGCAAACGGAAGAAGCAGCTGAAATGTGGAGGACTTTGAGGTCGGAGACCTGGTTTAATCAAATGCTAAATACTTTCTTACACATGCAGTCTCTGCTGTCTTTAAGACGAAGCTCCGTCTACGGTATATTAGACCTTTTAAGGTCGTGGCCAACCGAGTCCTTGCGTATATACGCTAAACCTTTCGAAACGGATGCGATCCACCCGGTGTTTAATGCAGGCTTGCTCAGGCCGTATCAGGATTCGGCGCAAGTGAACGCGGAAGCGTTGGCGCCGGAGCGGTACCCACCGGCGCTCGAACACCCAAAAGCTGGACCAGCAACTGATTTTGAGCACGGAGTGCAACGATCTTCATCTCCAACGGCACCAGGCGCCCCATCGTCGCACAAAGCGATGCATTCGACTGCTCCATGGGCTAAGAGCCGCTCCGATAGTCCTCTACGTGAGACAGACGGTGCACAAAGTGCTTCAGGCTCTCTAGGTCTTCCGCACAGCGGTACGCAGCCCCAGCATGACGCTCAGCGGACCCCGATCGCGACGGACCTCGTCCAAAAGAGCTCGATGATCATCGCGAGTCACCGGACGGCGATTGACCCAGTCGACGTCGTCCGCCGCCGATTCTCCTCGGCGAGAATGGCGGTGTCCACTCTCACGTGGAATACCTTGTGGGTCGACGTTGTCGCTAGGGTAAACCCAGTATCTTGTGAAGTGGCGGGGACACCCCGACTCTAGAAACTCATGGAATTTTGAGGTGCCACTTCGGCAAGACTGCCCAGACGTCGTAGACGCTTATGATCAGAGGGATCATAGTGGTTTACTTCGTCGTACGCCCTGCGCTTCTCGGCAGTAGCCAAGGAGCCAAAGGACCAGGAGCTGAGCTCAAGCTATGGTCGTGAGCTGCTGTGGTTGCATACTTACCCGTGTGAGAGACCACATAGCTAGCGAGGGCGTGATGGATTAGTTTATACGTCGCAGGGTGACAATTCGAAGGAAGTCGGCGTTGCGCCTTGAGTTTGGCAAACTCGAACCGAAGATGGCGTTTCACGCGCACGTCCACCTCCTTGTGGCTCCGCTGTAAGTTGTACAGCGAAGAAAGTAAGCCGCTGCACCCATCGCTCAAAGAGCTCATCGTCATCTGCAGCGGTTTCGCCAGGGGCGAACACCATAGGAATAGTCCACATAGCAGGTACAGGAGCGCCTTCTCTTTGAGCGCGAAGTCGAGCGCGGTACCGATCCATTGGGATTTCTTAAGGTACGAGGTAGCGAGCCCGGATAGCTTATCGTTTGTCAAGATCAGCTTATGTAGTGGCCGGGGGGCCAGCCAGGCTTTTCGCTGGTTCACAAAGGTGGGAACGTTGATATCAACAACCAACTTGCCTGAATTGTAAGCCCCACCTTTCTTTGAGAGAGAAGTTCGCTTCTCTTAAGACTAGGTCTTATTTTTCAAGACCTACTGGAGGTACAATAGACCCCTGCTCTTTGTCATTAGGCCGCCCTGCACCCACTGGAACAAGATTTTTCACCCGTGAGCAGCATGTCTTCCGCCTTCGCGTGGGAGTTAGATCCTATATATTGCTCAACCGGTACCGCAAAAATGTAATTTTGTAGATAAAGGTCTGCACGTATCGTGGAGCTCAGCAGCTAGAAATTCTCTTTATTTCCTCCAGCATGGTTGAGGTCCATCGCTTCAGGAGCACTCATAAAGCTCCCACTTCCAGTACCTCATCGGGGTCTCACGGCACGGAAATTGCACACAGCATTCATTGCAGCCCCCACCGCTTCCTTGAATAAGGTAGATGGACGCGATAGATCTTGGTGCGGGCCACACTCATTTAGAGAACCTCCACGAGGATGGTAAGCGTTAGATAGGGTCCAACTCCATAGCCGCGATATAACCCCGAACCCTAGACATAATCCGCAGATTCTCGCCTCCCTTTACGTTGGAAAGAAAACTTTGTTTGGCACAAGAGCTATCTGTTGCTTTAGATAAATACTACACACTAGTGTAAATCCTTGTATGATGCCTCCTAGCTTGAAGACTGCTAGCACGACGCCCTCTTACTCCATCTAGGGCATGGCCGAGTTCGTGGTCATATCAGATTCTTCCACCCAGAGAATTTGATTTATCAGTCCCGCTTTCATAGAGCCGCAGACTTAACATTATCGGTACCGCAATGAGATCCGTTCGCACTTTCGTCGACACATGGCTGGGGCATTCCTGGAGGTGCATTCTCATACCTGGCGAGCGCTCCAGGTAAGCAGTAATCCCATTCGGTCCTTGGGCCGTCAATTCCTTGATTACAACCAGACCAACGATAAACATGAGCTTACTAAGAGTGTTTGATTGTCTTGGGAGCAGATTATCAAACAGCTCGAGTTCCATTATCATGAAAGATACAGTTCGGTCGTCGGATCGATGACAACAGCTACAAGTGCAACGGGGTTGCTGTGCACTTTGTACAGAGGAGGCTTGACCCTCAACGTTTGCGACAACAAACGCACAGATATTTGATCCTAGCGCTTTAACCAGGAGCGGAAGCGAGAGCTGTCAAATTGCTTAACACTGTATGTATGACTCAGATTAATAATGTATCCTTCTTCTTATGCTACTTGTGTATTACTCACTTTATCAATTAGCAGAAATTAAGCATAATATTTTTCAGAATATATGCAAATAAGTGTAAAATATCTGCTCCCATGTTTATAAACACTACGTGCACGTTCGAGAAAGCAAGAGGTTCAAAGCTATGAGTGCCTTTTTCCAGCAAAAGATCAAAGATCCAGTCATTAAGCTACTCAAGTCTGGTGGTGTGTCCAGATATTTGTCGCGATGGTTCTATATACATGTAACAATGACGTCTATCCTTCCTTCGTAGCTTCACCTAGCAGCATCGCGCTTGCCATGGCTTTCGGCGTATCCGGGGGTGTTTTTCCCATTCCTGGCGTGACGACCGTACCTGTCATGGCTGCCATTTTTCTTTTTCGTCTGAACCCTGTTGCGGCCATGCTTACAAATTATATCGTTACACCGCTAAATATTGCGGCCATTCCCTTCTTCATGTACGTCGGCTACGGGCTATGGATTTATATCATGTACATTTGTTTGCACTGATTGTTCTTTATTAAAGTTATTATGGGTCTGTAATCTTTGGAGGGGGCAAAGAGGATCAGGAATTTGCCATCAGTAGTTTCCTGGAAGATATCAAAACGGATACTATCAACACGCTGTTGCTTTTCCGCTTCAAGTTGCTCCATGCGATCTATCTGTGGCTGCTTCTCATGCCTTTCATTACACTTGTCATTTACGGTGTACTCACTCCTGTACTGCGTCGTGTCATGCCGAAGAGCAAGGACGAGCGCAAACATGCCTGAAGTCGAATTCCATAGACTACTTTCTGATGGGCATACAGCGCAGTCAATCACGAGAATAACAAAGAATTACTTGCATCTCAAACTCAGTTTTGTAAATATTCACTGCATATATAATTAAATGTGTTTAGAGATTGCAAAATGACTGATGTGTATGGGATATGGTAGATAGCATCACGCTTTTCGCAAGCAAAATGCTACAATTAAGCAGTTAGAAACAGAACTTTGTATGCGTCAATCGCACACTGGGGGTGATGCCTCCGTGAAAGGTCCGAAACCAGTTAGCTCGTCGGCTCGCGGGTTGTATCGATTCACGATGCGATACCCTACAGCTACATTCAAAAATACAATAATATGGTAAAGTGCGCAAGCATCCATAGCTGAAATTTCTCTTCTTGTTCTCCCATTAAAGTTTCTAGTCAGTAACTCTGAAACAAAACGGTAGGAGATATCAATAGTTCGTGAGCAAGAAATGACGGTCACCGCGCAGGGCGTCAGTAAGACTGCATCATTTGAGATGGAAAAGTGTTAGCAATGACAAGATTTTTACTTTTGATCAACAGATGCAATCGTGATAGTGAACGTACCAGAAGAAAGGATTGAATTTCTTAAACGATTTTACTTCTTTTCCATCCTTTACCAATGCTAGACGCAGACCACGAGCTGGTAGCCACTTGTCAGTCATGACATCCACAGGAGTCCCAAGCTTGTTTGCAATCTTCTTTGTAAGACCCACTAAAATTCGACAAGCAGGTGAGTTCGATAGAATTTGCGTCGGCAAAGCGGCACCAGTGCTCTCTAAACATCCATCAATGCACTCAAAGATCATAACTATAGGAGGAATTCCACGCTCGCTTAGACCAATGTTTGCCCAGTCAGAGTTATGACGTGTGAATGTTTTCAAGCACAACTTCCATGTCTGGTTTTCTAAGTCTAAAAAATAATAGCATCACGTGAGCAAAGCATATTAAAGCATTTTCACGTGAATTTTCGATTGACAACCATAGTTTGACAGTCGTTGAAAACGAATCCGCTGTGCCGAGAGAGTAATACGATTATCTTCCTGACCTCTTCGAGTTCGGTTCAGCACCGGTTTGGACCAGGTTCCTTCCATTTCCACTGTCATTTCCATGGCACGATCCCCGTTACGCTTCATTGTCCACATATACTCAAATTTATGGTCTCCATGTAGGATAATTCGAAGTGTACTCTCGTTACCTTGAAATGCACCACCAAGCATAGCAACAGAAGGAGCATCTTCATACTGTGCGTGTGTCGGGGCCATTTGGGACGAAATCGACTTGTATATTCCTGGTAAAAACGTGTACAATGGTTCCTTTATTGCTGGCAAGTCTTGGGGCTGTTTCCAGCTCACGCACTCATCTGCAGTGCGCAGCAAAGTCTCCAAAGCAGATGCAACCTGATATTTTAAGTGCTCGACATCTTGTTCCGTCAGCATTGTTCAGCAGCTTACGTGTTGAAGGTTCCTCCCTTACTAATCTTGCTGGGTTTTCTACATAGATCTATTTTTGCTGAGATACAAGTGTGCTACAACGGTACAAGGTCTGACAGTTTGATGAGTGAAACGGAGGACGCAGTTGAAGGCGAAGATGACAACTATACGAACTCATATCTTATCGATGACGACGCAGATGAAAGTTACGACGCTGAATTGGCAGAGATGCTAGCCACAGTAGAATCAATTCAGCTTGTTGATGACCATTTGCAGACGACAGCGACATCAACGCCTGCAACTTCTTCAAAATCAATTGGCAACCAATTGAATACTCAATCCAACCAGTGTACTCGGCTCGCACATGAATTGACAGAAGCTGAATGCAGAAATTCGCAAATACTTGTGAAGTCTCCAGCGGCTACAGTTCCTCTCGTGTCGGCTAGTAGAAGCCAAGATGGAATCAAAACAATCACTCGCAGAGCATTAAGTACCAGAAGTAGTGGCTCAAGTAATCTAGGAGCAGTCAAGACAGCTGCAATCTACGAGGAAAAGCTGCTACAGGCCGCGATGACGACAAAAACTATTGAAAAATTGAGAAAAAAGGTGTTAGCTACTTCGCCTGGTACGTTTTGTGCTTCTAGCAATTATCACCCAAGCTCTTATTGTGTATGTTACGGAACTTGTTCATCTTCTAGCAACTATTCGAGTACGTATCGGTATATTCGTAGAACTTAAATGCTGGAATTAAGATCGCCATTGCCGTCATTTAAATGTCAGAGTCGGGTTAAATTTCTTTCAGTCCCACGTAACAAATCCTCAGCTCGTAAATTTGCTACGGATGACGAAGAAATGCACTGTCGTTTCCAGTCGCGAAGAAATGATGCTCTTCATGCAAGGACGTCTACTCGGGATGACTATGACGATGCAGGTGATAGAGGACAAAGCTTCATTTCCCGAATGGAAGCTGCAGAAAAGAATCGTCAGAAAGTGAGCTTTAGTGATTACCATCAATGTTATGACAGAATCACTTACAATACTCTGGTTCCAGAAACTTGATTTGTATCGCGGTGAGAACGACTACAACGCACGTCTGGTTCGTTTTGAGCTATGTACTGAGTAATTGTGCATTTGTTTGTTCACGGATTATAGCTCTTCATTTTTTATGATAGGATAAGAAGGCATGTCCCAAATGTGGTGTTTCGCAGTCATATTCAGAATATAAAGACAAAAAAAAGAAATGTCAATTATGTGGCGCTGAGTATCGCTTTCTAAATGCCTGGGGAGATATAAAACACAGCTTTATAACTCGTATGGACGATGCTGCCCGTTCTCAAATTAAAAAGAAAGAAGAGATTGTTGCCCAAGTGACAGCGGAAGCGACCCATCGAGTTAGTATGAAAAAGACGCCAACGCAATTACAATATGAAAAGAAAATTGCGTCGAAACAGAAGATGCAAACGTTTCTCGATCGTAATTATACGCCAAATGGTGATTCGAAAACAAAGAGAGCGCAGATTAAACTTGAAGCGAAGCTTAATGCTGCGCGGTCAGCAAAGTAAACTGGAAATTTTTGGTTTTGAAGACTTGAAAAATTAGCCGTTGCAAGTAATTTACAAATGTCATTATTCGTCATATCAGAAAATCAACTTATCACACATTAATCTCTATTAAAAAGCAAGCAAATTACCAAACAACGTAAATTTAAATGTCATAGTGGGGATTCTAAGCTCACACCTTGTTTTCTCATCGCGTGAAATACCTCCAGAAGCCATGAATGAAACTTGCCATGCTCATATCTGCATAGAGAATGGCTGTGATTGTATCAAATAATAAGCATCCAAATCACTACTTCATCTTTTTAAGCTTCTTTTCATCTTCTTCAGCAGCGTGTTGCTGTGCAAATTGCTCAATGCACGAGATAGCAAAGTAGGCGATGAAGGCCACCATGATCCAAGATCCCAGCTGCGAGACCAAGCTGCCAGTAGACGCTGCTGCCGTTCCAGCGTGTTCAGCTGCGGCATTAACCTGCGCTGAGTGAAATTTCTTGCGACATTCAAGCAAAAACTCATTCACACGAGATCCAAGCCCCCATTGCTCTGGAGTGATAAGTCCAATTAAAGCTTCGACTTGCTTGAGGTGAGCGTCCGTAAAAATGGTGATGAAGAATGCGGCTTGCAAGTTAGCCTTAATAAGCGCTTTACCAATAAGCGTCGCGCCAAAAAATGTCCAAAATGGCATCAAAAAGTGTCCACAGCAAATTCCACATAAGTCAAAGGCCATGTTAGGCCAGGCAGACATAAGAAGCACACCCCAGAAGCCATGTCTTTGTAAAAAGCGAATCATCCAGTCTTTCATCTTGTTCATAACATTAAACTGAGACTTAGACTCGGCAATCTCTTCGAACTCTTCATTAGGCAGACCAGCAAGTCTGGCAGCACGGCTGAGTGCGTACGGTGGTATTTCTCCTGCGGCTGTGCCCGCACCCCACAACATACAAGGCAAAAAGACCTTCCAAAAGATAGCAGCAAAGGTGACAGTCGAGACTTCCGGTACGCGGTTACAGTTGGCTTCGAAAGAGTGAAACCACATATGGTGACGACTATCAAAATCAAGAGATTTGCATTCTTCCGCACCCTGTACCACAAGAAATATGTGCGGGAAAAGAAATAAAATGCCCGAGTGCATGCCAGTACCCAGCCCGACGCTTGAAAGTACGCCCAGACCAAACCACCAAGCCACAAACTTGACACTTTCATTAAAATTGTCGAGTAGATACCGATGTGAACCGTCTCGACCCGAGGCTACAAGCCATAGCACAAGCAGTGGCAGCAAAACGAAACGCGTCGCACGACTGCGCTGTACACGTAGCGCCAACCACTTAAGGAAGTGCAAGAGCACAATACTGAAATGATATAACACGCTGAACGGACGGCGGAAAAGAGTGAGCTTTTTGCGCTCTTGTCGCAACTGCTCGGCCAAGGATGCAGTGACATCGTCCGAATTATCTGTCATAGTCGCCGATGGTCTTCTCGAGGCTGCAGCGGATAAGGGAGAATGACGCACTCTTCTGCCACGTCGTAAAGTGTTGATTGGTTCAAATGACGATTGCGCTGGCTTGAGATTTAAATAAATATTTTACTCATGTTACCCAGATTATTTTCAGCAGGTGTAAAATAAACGGCAGAGAATAATAGTCTAAGATAGATATTTAGCTAGGGTACGTACGTATCCTGTTATAATTACCCTGTGCTCTCTTCATAATATCTTTCACATGATCGATAAGCTGACATGAGTAATGTTCGAGCTACCCGATCCGCTTGATTTGCTTGATCTGCTCAGGCTGCAAATCTCTGCTGAGCGTTAACGTCAAAATCGTTTGCCATACTTGTTTAACCGTTTCTTCTATCAATATATAGAGAAGGAATTCACTACCTGCATAAGTGTGACAGTGACTAGAGGTGCTACCAGTAGCAGGATACTATACGACACTTTGCACAAGAAAGTAATACAAGTATACTGTTTATACTGACGAGAAAGCTTATACAAAGTTTAGGTAGATCTAGCAATGAAAATAATTGCAGTTTCTTACTAAACACAGCGAAATAAGTTGCAGATGAGGTAAACAATTCGCTTTGTTACGCATTTGTATGACAAATAAATGCATTTTTTTAGGACTAGTCGATCTACTTTAATTTGTAGTTATTTTTATATAGTCAAATTCATTTACTACTTTTAGGTATATTCGTGTTGAGAGAATATATATATATATCAAATCTTGAATCATCATATTGCACAGTTAATTTAGCCCTAAGACGATGCGGAGAAATTTCGCGATGGACCTTACACACCGAATTTGATGCTCAACTGCTGAAAATCATATCAAAATTACTACTAGCCTTTTTCTAACGAAATCAGTATAAATTTTCTACGAAATGGTGTGATGTGTTGACAGACTTTAACGGCATCAAGATGGTCTTAACAGATATGTCAGCTGTCGCTGTCAAAGCTTGGCAAAGTGTATTCACAAATTCTCCTATCAAATCGCTATTTCCTGAAACTTTTGTAAATTTATGCTTTTCTTAATCAATCAGACTTCATTATGAGATATTCATGTGTACCACACCAAATACACATACAAAATGTTGCGATGGAAAGCTGGTCGATCTGCTCTGTTGCGTGACTCACGATGCGCGCTGTCAACGCGTCGGGTGGTGGAATTAGAGACGCAGGTATTGGAGAAATTACGGAACATCTCTGATGGCTTAGGGCTGGGCGATATTGTTTCAATGGGCCGTATAAAGGTAAAGTGACGACAGAGGAGACACAATTCGACCAACTAATGCATTGGTCTAGGAGCTTCACGTCGAGCCCGAGGCTGGAAAGGTGTCGTGCAAGATCAGCACTCCATCACCAGTACTCATGGATCTGTCAAAGAAGGTTTGAGTCATCCTTCGAGTGTTCAGTTAATATACTCACAATGGCATCTTTACTATAGTGGCAGAAAGAGGCAGAGCTAGCAGTGAAAGAACTCGAGTGGGTGAAGGTTATAGATTTTAAACTGTCGAATCCTCGGCCGCGAAATGCCCATGTTGGTCGCTTTTCATCTCTGGCTCACGTCTCGGAGATCATTGCAGTGTCAAGCTGCAAGGGTGGAGTGGGAAAATCTACAGTCGCAGTAAATCTCGCGTTTAGGTACATGAAAGTCAATAGAACACGACATGTTTTGTGGAGGGTTGTAACTTTGCTATCGTTTGCAGCTTATCAAAATACGGTGCTCGCGTGGGTATTTTAGATGCTGATATATATGGACCGAGTTTGCCTACGATGGTTTCACCAGGCGATCGTACCATTCGTCAGTCAAAAAAGATAAAAAACTTTGTCGAACCAGTGGAGTACGAAGGGGTTAAATGCATGTCATTTGGCTTTGTAAACCAACGTGCAGCTCCTGGTGCTGGAGGTAGGATGTGTATTGATGCTTATATGCAGCATTTCTTTACTTTTTTACGTGTATCTTGCTGGAACAGGTGTTGGAGCTGCTGTTATGCGGGGTCCCATGGTTTCAAAACTGATTGACCAGCTTATCCTTGGCACTGAGTGGGGCGATCTTGACTATTTGGTTGTGGACATGCCACCAGGAACAGGAGACATTCAGATTTCCATTTCCCAGCAAATGCCCATTTCAGCTGCTGTTGTTGTAACGACGCCGCAGAGACTTAGGTACAGTACTCACTTTATCAACGTATCTCATTATAAATTATACTAATACAGCCTTAACCTTCACTACTTAGCTTTGTTGACGTTGAAAAAGGAATTTCGATGTTCGAAGACTTGAAGGTTTAATACAGGCGTTTTATCTCGTAATCTTGAGTCAGTAACAGTGCTGTGTTGTTTCTGTAGGTGAAAACTGCTGCAGTAGTAGAAAATATGTCGTACTTTGATTGCTGCCATGGGCAACGACACTATCCATTCGGTTAAGGACTTCAACTGTGATAAACGGCTTTCATCAATTTTCAAACATGTATTGTCAATGTGCAGGTTCGGGTCATACACAAGAACTTGTAGAAAAATACAGCATCCACAATATATTTAAACTGCCGATTGCAGAGCGTATCAGCTCCGCAGCGGATTCGGGACGGTGCGTATAATAAAACTATGCAGATTGTTTGCCGATGTACTGAGATATATTTTTAATATGGTCTAGCCCTTTTGTTCTGTCCGAGTTGTCTACCGAAGAAAGTAAAACATACGACTCTTTAGCGACAACAGTAAGCCAAAAAACTTTCTTGAATGTTACATTTTTCTAAGTTGGTATTAGATAGCAAAGGAAGTCGTGATTATGAAGCACAATATTCGTCTGGCACCTGAATTGCTTTATGACAAAAATCGTGGCATTGTGCTTCGTATGTACAACTCAACAGAAGCAAAGGAGGCTTTGCTGCACCCCGCGGACTTTCGAGCGCGGTAAGCCTGTCTATAAGCGATTTTTGTGATCTAGTTTACTTAGTGTAACTTCATGAATAGATGCCGCTGTGCTCAATGCATTGATGAGTTCACAGGAGACCAGGTACAGTTGTGATCCGCTCGTCATGCAAATTTTGCGCTGATTTAAACAAAAACGACCTCTTTCATAGATTTTGGATCCGGCTACGATTTCAGACGATATTTACCCCACCACAGTAGAGCGGAAGGTATCACTAAATTTGTTTCGAAGCTTACAACTTCTGTTCTCACATTGGCCTTACAAATAGGGTAATTATGCGTTTGCGGTCACGTGGAGTGATGAACACTCTTCATCGCTATACACGTACGATATGCTCACGGCGCTTATTGCTGAGTATACGTCTAAACCAGGATTAACAAAGTGACGCTACCAATATTTCCAACACAATCACTATAGAGTATGTATTCCATTACATAGTGAATCATTCAGTCGGATCGCATTTATATGAGGATGAGGATGATGGGGGCCCTACAAGAAGTCTGTAGGATACAGAAGAACTAAGTACGTACTTACTCGGAAAGCTCCCCATTGTAGACGGCACGTCTTCATCGTTAGACAACATTGCCTCGTATAGAAAATAAACTGTGCAAAGTGCACGATAACCCTGTTGCATCTTATAAGACTTGCCATCAATTCGACGACCGTGTCTTATAAGGACTACTAGGAGAATGGAGCATGATAATCTTTGTATCTGCTCCCGGCTCAACAAGATCCGATTAGCAAGCTTCTGGCTTGATTCGGTCCTGATAGAATCGCGCTATGAGTGGCATAAAAATCCGAAGCGATAACCGGGCTGGTTGATTCGCCCACCCCCAGCATCACCTTGATCAATCATTCAATCGGCTCACAAAGTCAGGCCGCTTCTGATATGCTTCTAGATCGTTAAGAAGGGTGAAAAATCTCTTGGGACTTATAAGGATGCGATGGCGATGAATCAGCATGCTCTAATCAAAGCTTCAACACCTACCGCTTGTGTCTTTCGAGCTAGGAGACCGCGCTCGAGAATAGGTATTTGTTGGTGATATCTTTGCAGCAAATGCAATTCTTATATGGAAATGCTTTTGAAGATAGATCATACGAATGATTGCTTCGCCTAGCCCAGCAGTATCGTGTATGGATGAGATTCTTGTTCTCCTCTTAAAAGAGGAAGGTATTAGTGCAGTATGCAAACTTTCGAATTGCCGGAATGAAGATAGACCCTCATGTGGGAATGGTAATGCTTACCATCTAAATGAAAAAAATGCAGCTCGCGCTGAACACTTCCACATGTACCTCGTTTGAGGTTGCAGTTGGTACCGCGTTGAAGGGGGAGCACGTCTTCTTTGCCACATGGCCCAGTCGAAGGGTTGACGTGATGGTTCAATGAACTCGCCAGAGAGGCGATGGATCTGAGCCAAGCTGAAGGGGCAGCAATGCAGCAGGACTGACGTTCTTCTTTGCTTAGAGGGAGTAAGCTAAGTCACCGACGTTTACGTTCTTTACAAGGACCAGTACGAGTGTAGCGGATCGCAATCCGCTACCTCCAGAGTACTTAGCACCATCACCAAGGTGAAGACGCTCCTCCGCTCAAAATTAAGACTGTATTTAATTGTTTAGTTGCGGCAGAGCTAAACCCTTAGCTTTTCTTAATTATATAATAATACCTAATTAATATAGTAGCACAATACTTATATGCATTACTACTGGCAGTCCTGCCACATGGTGGTTTCTTGTTACGGTGCCACACCATTGTGTGATTTGTGTAATCCACACATATGTACGTTCACACCATCTTGTGTGACCTACTCTTTCATATTAAAGGTACGTGTAATCCCTTTACACTCTCCCCCATCAAAATTGTGGATACACTTAACTGTCGCCTCATACGAGGCTCGCGTGTCTCGACCACCGTTACGTTTTTTTAGAACATCCTTGAACATTCTCCGCTCAATAAGCCCTGTGTCTATGACACAAAAACACCCAGCCTAGCTGATTACGAGAGCACCAGCGGGCAAAGCCCTTCTTCTTCTTCTGCACGAGTGCATCTCCGGATAGTACGTCCGCGGCTTCACAGGGAGCAAGTCCCAAGCCCTTGGCAACCAAGTGCCACACACCTCGCCCGCCCCAGGAGACAGAACTTCTCGTCGAGGATTCGGAGGAAGTCGACTGCGAATCGGATACTTCTTTCCTAGCATGGTGAGACGAGGAGGATGGGGTGCGCCAACGGCGCGACGTGAACCTTGCGGACATTGTGTCCGCTCCCCAATTTCTCGACTTCCTGGGGAAGTGGTTTTGTTACCAATCGCCTAGACGAGGCACAGGAGCAGCAGTTGGAGGCTGCCCACAAAAGTGGATCTCGTGAGCTCGTATCCACGTTCGGTCCTGGACCCTCGCGTGGAAATTGGCTTCCGCTCGGCGGAGAAGCGAAAGACGCGATCACTCGATCGTTAGGCGTCTAGGTAGTCGTGACCCTGGCCACTACACAAGCTGAGCTTGACCAGCGGAAAGCTCTCTTAGCTCGCATCTTGGTATCCCAATGGATCGATACCGCACTCGACTACGAGCTCAAAGAGGAGGCGCTCCTGCACCCGCAATACGGACTATTCCTACGGTGCTCGCCCCTGGCAAAACTACTGCAGATGATCAGAAGATCTTCGGGCGACGGGTGCAGCAGCACCGAAAACGTTTTTTCTCTGTCTACCTTACAACGAAGCCATAAGAAAGTGACGTGCGCGTTGAGTGCCATCTCCAATTTGAGTTTGCCAAACTCAAGGCGCAACGCCGTCTTCCTGTGTATTGTCATCCTGTGACACATGGAATCATCCATCACGCTCTCGCGAGCTCACGGGTAGGTCTACGACCACAGCAGCTCAGGGGCATAGCTTGAGCTTAGCTCGTGGCCCTCCGGTTTCCCCGGTACCGCCGAGAAGATCGGGGCGCTCGACGACGCGAAGAGTCATGATCCTTCTGGTCATAAGCATCCACGACGTCTGGGAAGTCCTGCTAAAGTGGGGTCTCAAACTCCAACGAGTTTTCGGAGTTCGGATATCCCCGCCACTTCACAAGATATTGGGTTCGACCCTGTCGACTACGTCGACCCACAAGGCATTCCACGTGATAGTGGACGCCACAATCCTCATCGAGAAGAGTCGGCAGCGGGCAATGACGACTTATTCGATCATCGTCGGGTGACTCACGATGCTCTTCAAGCATTGATGGACAAACTCCGTCGTCATCGGCATTCCGCCGAGCATCCTTCCGTGGTCTCCTACCGCTGTGGGGAAGGTCTCAAGGGTTTGGAGCATATATGCATCGACTGCCTCATGTCGAGTTAATCGCGCTCTTTCTGAGCGGCTCCAAGCCGTCGAGCAGACAAATACGTCACTCGTGCGACGGTGAAGTGCCTTGCGCCGTTAGAGATAGAGATCTTTGCACTCCGTGCTCAAAATCAGATGCTGGTTCAGCTTCTGGGTGGTCGGACGCCTTTAGGCGCCGACCCGGCGCCAACACTTCCGCGCTCACTTGCGCCGGATCCCGGTACGGCTTAAGCAAGCCCACATATGACACCGGGTGGGTGCGCATCCTTCTCTGAAGGTTCAGTGTCTACGCAAGGCCTCGCTTGGGCAACACCATAAAAGGGCCAATAAATTGTGGACGGAGATTGTCTTAAAGACAGCGGAAACTGGATGTGTAAGAGGATTTAAGAATTTTATAAAATCAGGTCTCACAGCACGTGGTTGCACAGACACACTTAAGTGATGCTTGTCTGTCCGCACTTCAGCATAATGATCCCTATCATGTCGGCGCCATTACGCAAGGCCGCTAGGGCGGCCTTCCGACCTCAAAGTATTCAGTGCTTCTTCCGTCTTTCTGCATGTCTTGGCTTTCAGCCATCGCATTGCGAGACACTCAGTCCGGTGGACAGGAAGTCTCTGACTTCCTTGCGCACAGTAAGGGGGCTGACATCAGCTAGCGGCTCGGCTATTCATCTCCCACCAAGCCCTGAGTCATGAGATGGCGGCTTCAATGGGACGCGAGGGTTAACAAGACCGTTCACGTAGAAGGACGAGTAGTCGGTAGATGAATGCCTTCGGCAAGCCAAACACAAAGTCTATACTCATGGACTGCCAACACCCGGAGGGTACCGGTAAACTGGCCAGCGGCGCCGCCGCATTTGAAAGAATTTTACCTTTTGACACGTCTCACACGTGCGCACATATGTGTTCGTCCATTTGTACAGCTTGGGCCACCAGTAGTGGTAACTCACAGAGCTCTACATCTTCTCCCGACCGAGATGACCACTGTGTGGGGTGTCGTGGGTCAAAAGAGGATACGACATCTCAGTTCCTTATCGTAAGGGACCACAATTTGTGGCGTACCCGTCGAGTCGGTGCTATAATACAGCAACCTGTTGTTCAACAAATATCGGTGTAGTTGTGTGCGTAGTCACGTTGACAATTTCATGTCCGAGACTCCAAACTCCTTGCTCCCAAGAGCCCGTAGCAGCAAAACACACATACCATCACCCGCATATGCGGCGCGGAACAAATATGTCACTGACGACGTCACCATCGTGGCATGATCAAGCTCATAATCTGGTCTGCGCGACAACGCATCGGCCAGAGCATTCTGCTTTCCTGACTTATACTTCACCTCGAGCTCTGCAAAGAATAATGGTCACCTGGTCATCCTCTGCGAGAGGTGAGGCGACTGAATCTCAGTGCGTGATGACGCATGATCTTTATAGATCACAAACGTTTTGAACCAAGCAGGTGCACCCTCAACTTGACAGGTACATGCTTCATTGCAAGTAATTTATTGTCGTAAACTGGGAAGTTCTTCCCCGAAGCCTTAAGCTGGCAAGATTCGAACGCAAAAAAACGATCTCGCCCCTCAGCGTCTGCTTGCAGCAGTGCACAGTCGATGGCAAAGTCCGAAGCGTCACAACCGACACTAAAAGAACGATCTGGGTCTGGCAATCCCAGTAATGGTGCATGAAGAAGGATGTCTTTGACCCTGTCAAAAGCCTTCCGATGCTCGGTTTCCCAACATTATTCTTTAGCCTTCTTAAGGAGCTGCGACAACGGCCGTGCGCTCAAGTCATTTAAGTTCTTTGGAACCGGCCTGTCCACAATGGCCTTGACCTGAGCGGGATCCGCTCGAAGACCAAATTCCCGATTAAGCACCCTATAAAGAGTATTTCTTCGGCGCCGAAGTCACACTTGTCTGAATTACCATCCAGATTATATGTGCGCATGCACTCGAGCACCGTTCTCAAATTGACGATGCGGCTCTCTTCATCCGTCCTCCTGTGCTCCGCGCGACTGTGGACTAAAATATCGTCGAAAGAATTTTTAATTTGAATTTTATTTTTATTAGTAAATGTTTGTGCATACGCCCGGTGGGGACTGAACAATTGCGTCAAAAGTCGATTCACTGCCCTCACCATAAGCGCTTCTGCTTCCTAGCAGAAGTGGATACATGACTTACCAAATCTCCCCCAGGAGACATGCGCGTAGCGCATAAGATCTTTGACCTCCAATCAATCCATGGCTCATGGTGTTCAACAATGCCATACCAAGGATAAGGTCATACCTTGCATCCAAGTCGAAGACTAAGCAGCGTTCCACACTACCAAAGTCAAGAAACTTGACACCGAGGTTTTCAGGGACCCTCGGCACAGTGACACAAGTACTCATCGCTAAGCGAACAGTGACGGTGTCACTCGACCGCACTTTCTGCGCCTCAGCATACAGCTGCCTTCCTTCGAGCATAATTGCCCGACGCCCCGGAATCGATAAGGATCTTCCATGGCAACTCAAAGCCCTTCACGGTCGCTTTCACGACCAGCAAATCCGGCTTGCACACACGTTCCGTGTTCAAAAGAACGGAGCTCTTCGGGTTGGGCTCTGCTACCCTTTACCGCTTTGACTCTCAACATGACTCAGTTCTCCCCCGGTAGGATGCCCCGCGCCTACTGTGTGTTTTCATTTTTCCGCGACAACTAGCCTGGTTATAAGCGGGACGTCGATTTTGGCGCCTTGCGCAGGGGACAACCAGTCCGAAGGCAACGAGTGTCTCAACAAAACACCGTCGGGTGTTAAAACGCTGCTCGGCAGCTCAAAGCTCTCCCTTCTCTTTCTCAGCATAGCTGAGATCCATTGGCTCAGGCTGCTCGACGAGCTCTGAGGGTGTGCATTTCTACCAAGTCGTGCCGACTTAAAGTTGATTTAGGCATTCAATGCCACATTCACCGCTTCTTCAAAAGAAGACGGATTCAAACGGAAGACTTCCATTATGGTCAAGCCAGTCCATAAAGACGGTCACTGCGACCGCCTAGGGGAGCGATTCGGCTGCAACACGGTTATGAGAGTTCTCGACTCTTAGACAAAGTCCGTCGACCCCTTTTTGCCCTGTCGGGCGGTAAGGAAACGCGATCGCACGTGATATGCCTGATTTGGCGGCGAGAGAACTCGCAAAAGCTGAATCTTCAGCTCCTTCCAGGACGAGAACGCCGCTCCAACCAACGTGCCACACGTTCTCGCGCTCGGCCCCAGAGCTTGAATATGGCTGGCGCCACGCGCTGTTGCTCGTTCTGGAGCATGACAGAAGCCATAGCCATCTTGGCCTCTCTTTGCCAGAGTAGAAGGTTCTCTCCATCTTTACCCTCGAAGGTCTTAACGCTCACCATGAGCGGCCTGGGTTGGGGGGAGTCTTCCGTCGTCGACAGTGGCGTCATGGACGCAATCGACGTCGACAAGTTTTGTTGTAGATGCTATAGCAGAGCATTTTCTAGCTCTTAAACGCCCCTGGGCGTGCGTCTATCGCTTCGGGACCTTGCAAAACAAGGTGTTTCACGTCATCAGCGCCAAGTAGGGACGTTAGCTTATTAAGCCCGTTTTGCATGTTCTGGGGTAAATAGGAGTATTGCTTCATCTTCACAGAGGATCAGTCGTAACGACTCAGGCGTAGATTGACCAACAAGTGCTACCAAGTGCAGCGAGGCTGCCATAGCTCTTTGCTTTGAGGAAGCTAAGGTAAGATCACTGACCTTGCGTTCTTCAAAAGAACCAGTACGAGTGTAGTGGATTACAATCCGCTACCTCCAGAGAACTTAAAAATCTTAATCAAGGAAGGACGCTTTTTCGTTAGAAACTGAAACCTTGTTTAATTGCTTTAATTGCGGCAGATCCTTCAACCTCTTAAATTATAGCTTCACCTAATTTATATAGTTCTACCTTGTTTATATAGTAAGAATTCATTAATATGCACTACTATGGGCAGCGCTGCCGCGTAGTGGCTTCTTGTTACGGTGTAGCCACACCATTATTAATTACACCAACTTGTGTAATCCACACCTATGTTGGATCAAACCATTCTACATGACCCGCACTTTTATACATGGGCACGTGTAACCCCGTTACAAGCAATGTGGTACTCACAGATACTACATCTATAATTCCAAATACTTATTCTCTATGTTTCTCGTCTTCATCGATTGAAAGGCGAAGAATAGATCAATAACGCAAGTGAGGTGATCTCGCGGGGGATTGTTGATACGCAAGGTTGCCTACTGTGAAGGTTTGGGTTATTTTGTATCTCGTGGACGTCGAGTTCAGGGATTTCAGACTTGACGAGAGTAACGCTCGTTAAGATGGGTTAGGCTCACAGCCGATGGCAACGTTCCAGCTTTATGAACGCCGCGCAAATCAGATGCGTCGTGCACTCACGTACGACACTCAAATGACATATTAGTAGATAGTACAAGTATATTTAATTTGCCACATACGGTTATCATATTTACGATTTATACAACGGAGTCATGTCGAACTTTCTTGAAATTCGAGGGTTTTGACAGAATGGGATGCTGATTGACCTTAGACCTACATCTGAGATACACTCTCAGAGAGTTCTTAGAGAGTTCACTGCATCGGAACTGCGCGCTAACTAGTGCACTTACGAGGATCAGCACATCAAAGGTCTTTCTCTTACGCGCTCGCGTGGAACACAAAGCACTGCAAAAGGCGCGGCGCGGTCGACGATAAATGAGTCGTGCTGAGTAAGTTAGCGGGGGTGTTAATTTACTGATTAAGAAGGTAAAATTGGCTATCTGAGCTACTATCCGAATTAGAACTCGAAAAAGCGACATACGACAATGCCGTTCGTCATGTGCATAAATTTCTCTGAGGCCGGAAGGTTTCTACTCTCACCCCAACTCTGCACAAAACGCGCACTCTGAACCCGATTCTTGCGGCAGTAGGTCATATGACGATGTCTCACCGCGGGATTCACAAGGTCTCTCATCCCGTTACTAATAAGACGGAGCTAGCTAGGTAAGGCGAGCTTGCCCGTCTACAAGCGCATGATTCACAGCGATTTTTCAGGCTCAGTTACATAGTGTTTTTTAATCACGCGACTCGCAATGAAAGCTGCACTCAGCGCCGCTGTAGAGCCCTGACACGCCCCCTTGCACTTAGGCCGACGGCAAAAGATGTTTATAAAGCCTATTTAGAAGCGCGTTCTGGAAGATCCTGTGCCACTCCTAAAACGTCTCGACTGAAAAAACCAGATGAGTCTCTGTGTGTACAACTTCTCCTCTGATATCAAGCACTCAGAAAGATAGGAAAAGAAACGAATGCACATTAACTGGCGTTATAAGGCACTTTGATTGACACCGCTGTCTGGTAACGTCATTTGATCATTGACTTTGCGATGCACAAAAGCACGACTGGAACGTAAAGACGAGAGCTGCCCTTCATTTCTTGCTGATAAAGCCCCAAATATCGTTTTGAGCCTGTTAATACAGCCCTAAACATTATTAATTCTGCTGATACAGCTACCGGCCAAGTGTCGAGCTTGGAACCGCGGTGATCCCCAGAGGCGCGTTGTGAAGCGCGACCTAACATTTTTCCCGTGGAAACAATGACAAAGGGTACGCCTCGTCGAAAGTGCGGCGGCGCCAGGGCAATCTTGTCGAGAGGGAAGCTCAACCTCCTGTGCGCTCTTGAAGGAAGCGTATTCCTCCCACTTCACTAACTACCAACAGCAATCCTGGTAAATCCATCCACCCACTAACCAATCTACATCAAAATATACTACATTTCGTTTATCATATAGAATTGACGAGAGGCACTTTTTTGCTGGCATTTTTGTGCTTCCTTGGCTGTCAATATCTCCGAGAGTCTCGGTGTGCGGCCAAAACTGACATGACCTAAATGTCAAATGCGCTTCATGAGCTACACCGTCGCATGGAGTGATGAAATTTATTACAGCGGCTTAGAGGCTTATTACTACCCTAGAGCTATAGGCTTCACGGTGGCGCAGCTGCAGGTATAGGTTGAAGTTTTGCTTTGTCTACAGCAACTAGTTTCGCATCCGGATGGCTCATAAGAGCAGTGTACTGACATTACTTTAAAAAGCCCATGTATGATACAGAATGTGTTCGTATTTTCCCGAAGTATCGCGAGATGGCTTAATCCTTTTCTCGCTACGACCGTAAACGGTTGGGTGTAGCAAGATCGCAATTTGGTCATGTTGACTGTGAATACCAATTATATAGGCAGACTAACCACATTTGAATAACACCTTCTCATTCATTACATACTCAAACGTGTTGCGATTGCATCTGGTATCTGAATATTGCTTTTGCACATCTTGGCTCGTAGCAATTGCGTCGCACTTTCGGAGCATGACGCTACGTCTCGTTGCGATAAAGTCTTCGATGTAGTGCCCGGACTAAGTCAGCACGCTGAATCATATCCACAATAGGACCGGGGCCTTTATGTGGTGGTGTCAAGAGGATAAAAGCATATATGAAAAAATGGAGATTTTTGGAGAGGCTTGTAATGACTTATAATACAGACTCGAGGAGTGGGAGCAATTGCTTTCGCACCTTCATTTCTCCGTTAATGGCGTTGTTTGATATCTTTTAATACAAGATCAGCGTTTTGTGTCTGACTGTCAATTTGCGGCGGACAGGTTTATCCTGGTGCCACGCGACTTGAACAAAGTCCATTCAAACTTTGCAAAAGGGCTCGGGTCTTGTTCCATACAACGTTTACCGGTAAATCTTATCTTTGAAAGACTTTGTCAAGGAACAGTATTGCTGTATCCTCACCTGTTATAGCGTACCTGATATCAGGGACGCAAGTCACTTTGCTCATACGGCCCATTAAGATCATAATACTGTTATAACTGGACGCATCTCTCGGACCAAATTTTAATTATGTACGAAAAATTGCCGACCATCTGCTAGAATCGGCAGGCAGGCTAAGCGTACAGACGTAAGCGGTGAGAACATAACTTGTCAAAACCTTTGACACGTGCGGTCATAAGCTCGTAGTGCTTAGTGATAAACAATTCAAATATGTTTGGGCGTTAGTAAATGACGCCCAAAGAGGCGAATGTCCTTCCTCCACCAAGATGTTATCATGCGCTCGTATAGAAATTTGAACGTAAGGTCCTCGTTATTATTATTACCACCACCTTCGTGTTGAGTAGGTCAGTGCGATGATACACTACGCCTTGAAACAGTGACTAGCGGTATAAAAGTGCAACCACACACTTCGATGAAGCGATATTTGAGTTGAATGCACCCTGCTATCCAAAGCTTTCGGTAGTGTAATTCATGTTGCATAAGACGCGTACACTGTACAAAACGCCCATTCGGTGCATGGCGTCTTTTGAGACATGATGTCTGAGTAACGCAAGTGCAAACGCTCTACTACATGTGGCCAACTGGCTTGAAATATCCTCACCCAGAAAGCTCCAAGTACGGGAACCCGTTTCGCTGTGTCGGCACTAACATCAAAAATTTTCTGAGCTACATTGTAAAAGAACTTTGACAGGGCGGAACTCTGTTTGTCCGTATATATAAATGAGAGATGTATTTACACTTCGGTACATACACCATGAGTCATGAATTGACTGAAAGCTGAATAATTTGGGTGCCGCGATTCTTACCTTGAAAGTTGTTGTGTAGCTATAATTACGACCTAGTTACGACACAAAAGCGCCTTTGGCCTGAGCAAGGATTAATATTACAAAAGTGCTTAGATTTCAATTTAGAGGCAGAAGCGTCAGTGAACCGCGGCCTCAGCATGTGACAGGATGTAGCGACAGTACATCGAGGTTTCTGAAGCGTATCGTTGCTGAGCCAGGAATTTGTGTTGCTACATAAAGGTATGTATAATATGTCGCTTAACTACAGCTGTAAACTGGGGTTCGCAGAAAAAATACTGGTGGGTTGCTGGAGTGCGACTGCATGGCGCGGCGTCCATAGTTTGGCTCCGAAAAGACAATTTAAAGCGGGCATGTGCCGCGGTCTCCAGGGCATCGGTCTGTGGATTCACGTGGATGTAAGTCGAGATAAGCTTAATGGCATACACTCTTGTTAGAATAGGATGGTACTGCCATGTCGTTAATACTGTACGACGCGCCCACCATTCAAAACAGTGTAGCACCGCGGATTTGTGGCAAGCGCTCATCAAAAAGGCTTGATAGATGGTTTGCATGATAAACGATCAGATCGTCCCTAAAAGATTTAAGTCTCCATCCAGAACGTCAAGTAAAAGCTTTTGTTGATTTTGAAGCAAATCTTAGAGAGTGTTTGTATGATATTGCAGGTCATTAAATTCACCAGAATGGTTTGGCTGGCACAGGAGAATTAGCAGTGCTCTTTGCTGTTAATGTTTAATCTGCCATTGAACCCACTCTCAGAGCAGTCAAGGCGTGGAGTAGACGAGTGTCCTTAGGGAGCCTACAGATTATTTTTCTCAGATATCTCAACGGGACAAATTAGCGATAGGCGATGCCTTAGGATCGGGAGGTGCGTCATAATTTGACCAATTGACTCGAGTCAATACTGCATTACACTCTTACGTCTCTTTTAATGAGACATCGTGCGATCAGAGAAAAAAAAATTCTGTGCAATGCCGAAACATTTCCGGCGAGAGTGGATTAATCCTCCTACTTGGCGCCAACCTTCATAAGGCCAACAAAAATTAACGAACGGTACACGCTTAAAATAAGTTGAGTGCATTCGTCATTCCGGCACAAACACCGATTCCTCAGGCGAATTTGCTGCAGAACGGCATGGTTGATTGCACTTTGGTCAGTGCTTGTGGCCTTGCTGGTGCTTTATATAGACTGCTCATGAAATACCGTGGTATTCTTTCCAACGCGTGATAATGCAGCGACCGGACTGCTCTGAGAGATACTACTTACGTCACAAAGTCCTTAGAATGCACCAGCGATTTTTAGTCGTGGATGATGAATTCATCGAGGTTGCATCATGCACTCGAAAAATATTTGTGCATAATCGTACAGATTACGGGAAATAGGACGAAATGTATGCGGTAAAGTTTAGAATATATACAGACCATGCACTGTTGCACATGTTGACAATGTCAGCACACTTTCTCGCACAGAATGGTTACATGGTAATCCTCTCTACCAATTAGTCCATTCTCCGTTTCGCCTAATCTTCTTGGCAATAACTGCACCGACGCTTCTGTCTCTACCAGATTTCCACAAATCACAGATCCCGAGACGCCGATGATGCAATAAATAATTGTGGACCCGCCCCTTTGAAAGAGAGGCTCCCTCTTCAGCGCTAGTCCAATCGACCTCAACAACTACGAAGGACAATAGGACACATCAATTTGCTAGTGGATCATCCTGTGTTTACTGGGATACGACGCTCACAGCGACTGACTCATCTGTTGTCCTGCGGTCGGAGACAAACCCTTCACAGTTCTTGCAGATAGAGAATGAGATGCGTAGAGTTTTCTTTTCAGATTTTGACGTAGCGCCTAGACATCAAGTTGACGTATTAGGACTCAAAGGTAATAGGTGGCTGCAACCTTAACCCCGTTGTTCATATGTTCCTTTCAAACCTGCTTTCTTCTGCGCTTAGCATTTTCTGCATACAGTGATTGGTCAAGACCGGACCCCACGAGCTACGGGAGGCCTACACTCTCTTATCTCTTACCCGGGTGAGGCAAAGAAAAAGGGCGTGCCAGGTCGTTAGCGGTAATTTTTTTACTCTTCTCCTATAAAAGTGCAACATGGTATCCATATTGGTGCAGATAATCGAATTTTGAAAGGGTTGGTGCACATGGGCTGTACGCTTCTTGCATGAAGCACGAGCCCAGAGTGTATGAGTTTGTTAGCGCGGACTCTGAAGTCAAGCTTCCTTTGTGCAAAATGCACAGCAATCTTGTTGCAAACACGATGTAGCTGCTTTATCTACCTGATGAAAGGTCTTCAAGTTTGAGTACCATTTGAATTTGGTCTTCCAAATAAATGGGCGAGACTTCTTTTGTCATGGCTGTTATCCACGTTCGTTCCATTTACTATACGATGCGCAAGCGAGTTTGCTAGTTTTTTTGTCTCGATATACAGTGAACATTGAGCCGAATGCCCTGATGTTGCAAAAATCAGGCGCGTGGTCTGTTAGCGCTCCAACCGGTGAAGCGATCCTTAGTATTTCTTGTCGCACCTCTCATTCGCGCTTTTTCACCTCAGCGCAAACCGCTATAAAGCTGTCATCCTTACTAGTAACGTCGTGTGTAGCTCGCATCACTACAATGAACACATTGTTGACGGTTCTATACATTGCCACATTGAATACGACGACAAAGGTGCTGAGAGATCTGATCACTCGTCCATCGGTTACGTACGCAATCTCGTACCCTACTTGCCATACGACAATATATTGTGAGCTAGTGTTCAACGTCCTTGCCAAGCTCCATTATCTGTAGCAAGACGCTATCGATCTGCGTTGATGGAAGTAGTCGTCACATTTGGTAGCACTTGCACAGCTGGCACCATTCGTCGCGCGAAATTTGCGCTGTGTCGTCAACATTAGGTTTGCTGCGATCCTTTGCCGTATGGAGCACCCCAATTCAGATGTACAGCTTGTGTTCCATCCACCATGCATATGTACGATATACAGACAAATGGCCTGACGCATTGATATAAATTGAGCACCGCTGCAGTCACTACCAAGGGCATACGCTTGCCCTCGTCTTCCTTTGCTTACCAAGATTTGCTACATTGAGGAAGGCGGCGAGAATTCAACATGTGGTAGTGTAAAGCCGGCCAATTGAATAAAATAAGTATATTTTTTATGTTTTTGGTGCTCACTCTGAAAACTTATACAATACAGAATAGGCTACACAATGGCGGTGATCACCTTCACGCCACTATATGGTGTGCATTCAAGCGCTCCATGTTGCGCGTATCTCTTGGAAGTGGACGATGTTTGTATTCTACTAGATTGTGGTTGGACAGATGCATATGATGTTGAGCTGCTTAAGCCGTTGCAGCGCGTGGTGGACCGCATCGATTTGGTGCTCGTGTCGCATCTGGACTTGGCACATATGGGGGCATTACCCTACGCCATTGGAAAGCTTGGACTTAATGCTCCAGTTTATGGTACACTACCAGTGCATCGTATGGGACAAATTGCACTGTATGACGCATATCAAGCCAAAACGAAACAAGATAACGACTTTTCACTCTTTTCGTTGGACGATGTGGATTTGGTCTTTGAGCGATTCAAACAGCTCAAGTACTCCGAAAAATTGACGCTTCGTAGTAGTGGAGAAGGAATTGTGATCACACCTCATGTGGCTGGACATTTGATTGGTGGTGCTCTCTGGAGGATTATGAAGGAGACGGTAAGAGTAGAAGTTTACAAGACTTGACATGTATCAACAGCAATAGCTCATTTATACATAATTCAAACAGGACGACATTATTTACGCAGTGGATTATAATCATCGTTCGGAGCATGTGTTACAAAAAACGATTCTGGACTCGTTCTCGTGAGTTTTAGGTACAGAGATGTCGAAGTCAATTTATTGCTAATTTTGAAGTTTAATGTGATGGATGTAGGCGCCCAACGCTACTGATTACCGACTCAATGAATCTTCATGCAGAGCAGCCAAAGTTGAAGGATCGAGATAGCAAAGTAGGATTTTGAATTGTTTTGCTGTGTGACTATTTCGTACTGATTTCGGTGATGTGATCAGATCATGATGGAAATTTTAAAGACAGTTCGAAATGGAGGAAATGTACTAATTCCTACTGACAGCTCTGGTCGTGTACTCGAGTTAATGCGAGTGCTGGACCAATACTGGATTCAAAACAAGTACGCAATTGGTTGATGCTTGTCGTGATTTGTACATCTAATTAGATATCGCTCATTTATGCATAGACTGCGAGATCCCATAGCTTTGCTCCATGATATGAGCTATTATACGCCAAAGGCAGCACAGGCAATGTTGGAATGGTGTAATGATCGCATTGCGAAAAACTTTGACATTGGTCGTCAAAATCCTTTTCAATTTACGTATGTTATCAGTCTATGTTACTCAATTTTCTCATAGTTAACTCTAAACTTATTGCTTAAGTCATATCCATCTGGTTCATACGCTGGAAGAACTTGATGCTTTGCCGAATCCTAAGGTGCGTTTGTGTGCACATGACATCTATGACTTCAAACTTTGACAAACCTTTTCTTTATGTACTTGTGAAGGTAGTCCTAGCTACATCACCTAGCCTTGAATGTGGTTTCGCAAAGGATATGTTCATTCGGTGGGCTCCTGATCCTCGAAATAGCATTATTTTTACTTCAACGACACCAGAAACGTCATTTGCATCCCGCGTACTTAGACTTGTGAAAGACCCGTCCGCTGAAAAAACTATATCATGTTCGGTGACACAAAAGGTGTTTTTGGAGGGAGCTGAACTTGCTTTATACGAGGTGAAAGAGCGCAAACGTCTTCGTGCAGAAGCTGAAACTAAAGCTAAAGAAATTGAAGATGCTGCGATGGAAGATATGATGATGGGAATTGAAGATTTCGAATCAGAGTCGGAAGAAGAGCAAATTGCGCAGCAGGAAGGTGAGCTCACCTAAATTTGCTTTTATAAACTACTCAACGTCAAACGTCACATACTATAGTTCAGCTTCGTGGAACTTTCAAGGTTGGCTTGGGCCAATTAGCATCAGTTCGATATCCTATGTTCTTTGCTGTGGAGCCAAAAATTGAGTGGGATGAATATGGAGAGGTCAGAATGTTTTCAATTAACTTACAAGACGACACCAAGTATATGACGCTTTTGTTTGCAGATTATTAACCCAGAGGATTTCAAGGATGCGACACTATTAGCAAATCGCCAGGCTCGTCGTAATCTTATCGACGATGCTGATGGGGACGAAGACATGGAAAGTGCTGACCAAGAAGTTGCAGCTGAAACTCGCCCGACGAAATCCGTCACAAGTGAAGTTGTCGTCAATGTACGAAATGCTTTGTGCATGGGTATTAATTATCACGATCATATAATTTTGTATTGTGGATGTCTTAGATCGCTGCTCGTATTACGCAAGTTGATTTCGATGGTACTGCTGATGGCAGAGCAATACGAAATTGTTTAGGCAACGTCAAACCACGCAAACTCATTCTAGTTCATGGCACTGAAAAGACAACTCAAGATCTAAAGCAGTTTGTAGAATCGTCAATCCCAACGTGCGAAGCAGTATTTACACCAAACATCATGGAATGTATCGATATCGAATCCGACACGAATGTATATAAACTCTCAGTTAAAGAGTCATTGTACACGTCTGCAGTGTTTCGAAAGGTACGTTCACAAGTGTGAAGTATGAGGTTTTGGAGTTAAATCCCATTTTTTTTTCGTAGATTGGTAGTCACGAAGTTGCCTACGTTACCGGACAACTTGTGCTACCAGAGAACAGCTCAGTACCAATTTTGCAGCCTCTCAATGAAAATGGAGGTCAAACAACACACGAGCCCATCCTACTAAGTGATGGAAAGATGAAACTGGATGTCATGAAGCAGGTACTGGGCAAAGCTGGTTTTCATGCAAAATTTCGCGGCGGTATGTTGGTATGCAATGATGGAGTGGTTCTTAAGCGTGCAATAGATAACGAAATTGTGATGGAGGGTACGCTGTCAAGCAATTACTTTCGCATTCGAGCACTGTTGTATGACCAGTTTACGCTGGTGTAGTATAATAATACAACAATCGTTGCACTATCTTATCGACTATACCTTTTGTATAGACTATCCTGTTATACTCGATAGATAAATGTACATCTAAACTTGTGTGGCTCAAGATACTTGTGTAGAATATGTTAGCTCTCCAGCGGCACGCAGCACGTACTAGTGCCTGCTTTAAACCTTGCTTCTCAACTTTAGCCGTCGCTACTCGTGACGCTACATCCAACGTGTTACATGTTGTGGTACGAGACGGTGAAGGATCGCGTGCTTCTCGACGTTTGCGCAAGCAAGGCTTGTTACCAGGCGTTCTCTATGGCGAGGGTGTAGATGGTACTAATGAACGTGTGCTGGTCTCGTTACCTACACGAACGTTTGAGATCTTGCATCGCGATCTATGGACATCCATTGAAAACCAGGTGTTCCAGATTCAAGTTGACAATGAGCCACCTGTGAAGGCCTATATGCGTGACGTACAGCTTGATCCCGTCACAGACGTGCCCTTGGCTGTGAACTTTTTGCGTTTCAAGCCTGGTCGTACTGTATCAATACCAATTAAAGTTATGAATGAGGAGGGAAGCCCAGGATTAAAACGCGGAGGCTTTATCAATCACATTTACCACTCGCTCGACTGTACCATCTTCACGGAAGACATCCCTGCTACACTAAAGATTGACGTCAATGGCCTACACGTTGGTGACAAGATTTTCTTAGACTCAATTAGCTTTCCGGATGGAGTAGTGCCAAACATCGCAAAAGGATCGTTAATTGCTAAAATTGCCGGACGTCGCGGTCTTATCCCACGCGTGAAACCCGTGGTTAAGAAGGTTGTAGAGCAAAAGGAAGAGGAAGAAGAGGATGAAGAATTTGATGACTGGAATGATATATTCTAGGTTTTGCAGCTATCTGTTGGCAGTTTGTCTTTTGGGATCTCGCTGCCTCTTTGTGGCATGTTCAAAGCACTTAAAACGACCTCGCAGAATCCAATTTCTTTTACTTAGATAAGACTCTTGTAGCGATGCAATGACCTTGTAGTTGTTATGACAAAAAAGCTCTTTCAAATTTACTGGCTACACATTTTCGTCTTGCCACTGTCAGATCTGGGTTTAAAAAAGGAAGCGCTGTCTGGCAATGCCTTATCTTTCATTTCTTCTTCCTTCTTCGCTTTACGCTCAGCTGCAATATCTACCTTGGTATGTTTGGAATCTGGAAAGTCTTCACGCAGCCAATCTAGCGACGCAGTGGTTTGTATTGTGCGCGTTACATCCGACGCTTTAATCTGTCGTTTGTTGCGATACAAAGCTTGCTCGTAACTCTTGGTACCTAAAAATTGAGCAAACAGCTCCTGCAATCATATCATCAGGATCCAAAATTTGACTCAATGAATCGCAAGTTAAGTGTACCGAGGCTTTGGCGATTGCAATAAGCGCATCCTTCGAAACCTTGCCGATATCCGGATCGCTCTGTACAATCTTTCGAACTCTTCCCAATGGATAAATGCAAGCATTAGAGTTCTGTGCCATCTTTTCCTTTAAATTAATCTCTTCATCGACCTGTGGGTGGTCAAGTATTTCCTGCTTGTAGCGAGCCTTATCCTTGTTTGCCAGTTCCACATACACGTCCTTCTCTTCTGTCGTCAACTCGTTCCATTTTGCACTAATAATTTTTTGTATCTCACCGATGCGAACACCAGGATTCTCATTCATCACGTCTCTGCGCCGCTCATTACAAAAGATGAGATAAGAGCTTTGCGGCTTCTTCACGGACATCATGGTGTTAGTAGTTTAAAATGTAAATTAGTATTCTTAGCTAGAATCCTCTTTCTAGTTATACAAATTTCATTCTTCCATAATCTGAACACTCAATGGGCAGCAGCTCCAGTAAGAGCGAAGCCTCTAATGGGAAGCAGCAATCAACGTCAAACACCAACGATACTGTTTCTTTTAAAAATGAGCTACTAGGGATGGTACTTGATGGTCTCATGCTCTTTGCCATGTACCAGACATCGAAATATTTGTACAAGGCAAGTCGTTTTAACGTGATATGTGCTAACATGACTCATGTCATTTCTTTTCATATTAATACACAGCAAATCAAGCCAATGATAGATGACTGGGATAAAGGGCAAGATAGTCAGGCCAAACTTAAGAATCGCTTGCAGCGCACAGGTCGCCGCGCATTTAAGACAAGCTACTTTGAGAACATCATCGCTGGTGACATTATTGATCCACACGATATTGACGTTACATTTGAAGATATTGGTGGTCTAGAGCGCCAAAAACGTGATATCTACGACTTGGTAGTATTACCACTTAAAAGCCCCGAGTTTTTCGCCTCTCGTGGGACACTGCTTACTGTGCCTAAAGGCATTTTACTCTATGGCAAACCTGGAACGGGTAAGACAATGCTAGCTAAAGCTATTGCCAAAGAGTCCGGTGCCTTCTTTATTGATCTGAAGATCAGTACAATTATGAGTAAGTGGTTTGGCGAGTCACAAAAGCTTGTACAGGCTGCTTTTTCCCTTGCACAGAAACTAGCGCCGTGTATTATCTTTATTGATGAGGTTGACTCGTTCATGGGCAAGCGAGGGGGCGTGTCAGACCAGACATTTTCGTCTATGAAAACGGTTGGTGTTGCCAATTGTTCAAGCTCAATGTGTCATTAGTCTGATTTTGTTTTTCTTAGGAATTTCTTGCGCTTTGGGATGGATTTACTGAAATGACTAATGGAGACGGTGGAGGCTTTGGTGTTTTGATTATGGGTGCAACGAATCGACCCGGTGATGTAGATCCTGCTTTCCTTCGTCGTATGCCTCGTACTTTTGAAATTGGATTACCGAACAAATTACAGCGTGAGAAAATTCTCCGACTACAGTTGAAATCCGAACGGATAGACGATAATTTCGATTATACCAAGCTCGCTGTTGATACAATGGACTACAGTGGAAGTGACCTAAAGGAATTATGTCGCGCTGCGCTGATGATTCCGCTTCGAGAACATATCGACAATTGTCGAGCTGCTGAAGAGGAAGCTGCAAACCGCCAGACGGATGAGCACGAGGAAACGCTAATATACGATGAGACTGCTCCGATAAATGCTTTGACGATGCGTCCACTATCAATGGCTGACTTTGACGAAGCGAGGACCATGGTACAGCCTACTGGAGCGACAGCGTATGCGTACGAACAGTCGCAAGAGGAAGTAAGGCCCTTGCGACAAGCATCTGGCAGTTCAATTGATCCAGATATCTTTGCCGCCGTGTTGGCAGCTGGGTTGCAAAATTTGATGCAGCAGAGCCGCAATGTCGAGTCGGCTTTTTAATGGAAACGGAAGCCGGCATTTGTTAGATAAATACACGCTTTCTGAGTACAAATTCCTTATACTGAGCCTGCGGGTCCACTTGAGCGATCCCAAGCATTTGCGGTGTTGAGGAGATATAAATGCGAATGGGCTTGCCGCTCGAAAATTCAAAGTTCTTGTTGCTCCCAAGCACAATGTCTTGAGCAGAGATTGTGACAACACCGCCATGAAGCCATCGCTGAGCAGTTTGTAGCGGCAGGTTTGCAAACGGAAGATGCTGAAGCATACTTTCGATCGGTTGTAATGGAGATTTTCCTTGCTATAAAATTGACAACATATCTCGTTAAATTTTAAACATGTCGCGATTCTGTTGTCAGTTACTATACAAACCTCTACTTTTGATCGAATTTCATCGAGATCAAGACTATCAGCGACGGAATAGACCCCACTTCTAGTTCGCTCTAGCTCGGTCAGTATTCCCCCAGCACAAAACTCGCCGACAGAGTTACGTAAAGTGTTTGTTGGATTTACATTTTCAGGCGGCACAATCAATGCTTCACCACACTCACGCGCGATCGATCGAATGTACGTGCCACCCTCACAGGCGACGTTAACATTCACCTTTCATCATGTTAATCAAGTAGATAATGCTGCACTTTTCTCAATAGCTAACTCACCTCTGGATAGTCTCCTTGAGTAAAGTCAAGTACTTCAATCGAGTCAATTTGCACTCGTCTTGGTTTGACTTCAAAGTCCTTCAGATCACAACCACATCGTTAAAAACGTTCTGATTATACATTTCAAAACATTTACCTTGTTGGCTCGCGCCAGCTTGTAAAGCCTTACACCGTTCGTTTTGATTGCACTAAATCGTGGAGGTACCTGATCTATATTTCCAATAAATCTAGAAACCATAAAATTACCATCGATACTAATCTCCTTCCGTAGCTTTTCGTCTGTACCGTTGCAATGTCATCTTCACCATCTTTTCATCAATCCAAGGTGCTGGATTTTGTGTCAAAACTTTTCCATAACCATCGTCTGAGTCTGTTGTGATCCCCAGCCGAATGACACCCTTGTACTCTTTACCAGTCGTTAGGTACTGCAAGAACCGCGTGGCACGTCCTACTGCTACGGTGAGAACACCTGTAGCCATTGGATCCAATGTTCCACCATGACCAACTTGTCGTGTATCAAACACTCGGCGCATAGCATCCACACACTGGTGCGATGTGTGCTTCGCGGGCTTGTGCAAGTTCAAAAAGCCGCTTTTCATCGTCTGGAGTTCAAACCTGTGAAATAATCGATTTCAAAGCATATTATTGTTATCAACTGACAATTTGTTTTTGTAGCAATTTATATGTATATTGAAGACCAACACGACGATATTTGTCAGTCTTATGCGCACGTGAGTCACCATTCATTGCAATCCTCCCTCTGTCGGGCAAGCGGTAGTCTGAAGTCAGTATCTGACATTACATATGGTGCCAAATTTACTTGTTGCGACGTAACAGTGCTGCTTAAAAGATTTGCTCGATAAAAAAATCTTTGCACTTGAGTGGTGTCGTGGTGTCCAGTGAAGAAGGGAATCATTTTCGTCTACAAGGAAGAATATGTGTCCGCGACCGCAATAGCTGCGCGCGAATGATGTTCCTGATGCTGAAACGAAGTAACAAACTAGCTCACCTTCGACTACGTACAAGCCCGGTTTTGATGAGAAGGTCCAAGTGAGCACTAGTTGGCACTATGCAAAGTTAATGTATTGAAGGTCCTCATTTAGGATCATCCCATCAGAAAATTGAGTCTATTCGCGCTACTCTCGGTACTATACTCGGCAGTACTTGGTGCCTGAATCCCCAGCATCTTCCGCAGGGTATCAAACTGCACTGCTGTAATCGGCTTGAACGTCGTGTTAGCCTTATGTCTTTAGTCGTATCATGCTGAGAGGTAGCTCAGCAAGACTAAGGACATTCAATATATATTTAATTTGCATTTTGCTAACTAGTGCACATCTGAACCTTTTCTTTAGGTTAAATGTAACGGGGTTACACGTATCCGGGTAACAGGGGTGTGTCACACGGATGGGCATGGTGTGACTGCACCCAAACAAGAATACGGTATGTGGCTGGGTAGCCAGTATTTACGCATGTATTCAGATTTTACTATATATATAGGAAAATCTATACATTTAAAATCAGGCGGCTTTGCCGCAGATAAAAATAAAAAAAAGTCAGTTTTGGATTTTAAACGGAAGAGTTAATTAGCCTTGGGTTAAGGCGATAATTCCTCTTGGAGTAGGCGGATTGCGATCCGCTAACTCGTACTTGTTCTAAGTATAGAACAAAAGGTCGGTGACCTAACTTACGCTTCCTCAAAGTGCTAATCTACGGCAGCCCGCTGCACTTTGTAGCACTTGTAGTCAATCTACAATTGAGTCGTTTAGACTGATCCTCTGTGAGGATGGAACAATTTTCCTCTTTGCTCCAGGGCATGCAGGGCGGGCTTAACAAGCTGATGTCCTTGCTTGGCCCTGAGGGCGTGCAACACCTTGAGGCGCAAGGCCCCG